CCCCAAAACCCCAAAACCCCAAAACCCCATCATCCAGAGATTTAAATGATGCTAGAAATTTAAATAAATATATAAATATATTGAGATTATTTTATTTTGGTCAAAATGATAAGTATTTATTGATCAAAACTCCAATATTTTATAATTTATTTTATTAATGGGAACAACAGATTCGATTCCTGTTATTTCTTAACTTAAATCACTGGTTGAAGTTTGCTGTGGTAATACTGTAGGTGCTCGAAGAACTTAAATAAACTTTTCAAACTAATGCATAGTAGTCTCACAAGTTAAATCTTTAGTTTAATCATTAGGTGGGGATAATGTAGGGGCAAGATAAACTCAAGAAATTTACTTAAATAATGCAGTCCAAACCATCAATGGAATTGCTAATGGGACACCTGGTGTTGGACATCTCAAAGGTTCTTTACATTATATAAGAGGAGAGAAGGAAGCTGGAGATCAGGCCATGAAGTCTGCATCAAGGACTATTGGAGTTATTGGAGGAGGAGTAAGTGGAATGATTATTGGTGGTCCAATTGGAGCTGTTGCTGGAGGAATTGCTGGTGGAGCAGTAATGGATGGGATAACCACTGGGGTAGATTGAATTCGAATCGAGGATCAGGTAAAATCTAAGCGTGAAGAAGTAAAAAGCTATTAAAAGACTGACTTAATTTAGTAAAAACCAGCGAAGATTAATCAAAAGATATCTAATCAGGCATAACGAAATCCTAAGATTGGGTCCAGAGCATCTCATCAAAATGGGAGTTTATAACCCAAGATTCGGGCTAGAATTGATCCTTCAAATATTCTGCCTGAATCTCTCGAAAGCTTGACTGCTGACGGATAAATCGATCTTTAGAGAGTTTATGAAAGTATGAAGCATGCCAAAACCGAATATCTAGATATTGGTTCTGCAGTTGAAGTAAATAATTAATTTGATCTCCAGTCAGCAATTCCAAATGTATCAGATTTAGATGGTATTATAAGAAATAGTTCTAATGCCCATACAAACTTAATGGTAACAAATACAGTCTAAATCTGATTATTGAATCAGATATACTTCTAATTTAAGCACAGGAAAAGCCTGCTTAATTCAGAGAGTAGCAAATAATTTTCCTCAACTTGCTAAGGAGTCTTTTAATGAAAAAGCTAATTAATTACTTTGAGTAGAAATAAGCTTTTACAGCCTATAAAAAACATTCTTTATATGATTCTTAAAATATTACAAATCTTTATCTTCTTTATATATATAATCAATGAAAAAACAAAGAATATAAACATTTTATCTTGATATATGATGCATTTTTTACTTTGAGGGGTTTTGGGGTTTTGGGGTTTTGGGG